TCGCTGCAGCAGAGCGCGCCCTCAGGTACTTGAAAAATGCACCTGGCCAAGGCATTCTCCTTCCTGCAGATGGTAATCTTTGGTTGACCGCATATTGTGATGCAGATTGGGCGGGTTGTCAAACGACTCGTCGTTCACTTCTGGGTATTTTGTCATGTTGGGTTCTGCTCCAGTGTCCTGGCGCACGAAGAAGCAAACTGTGGTTACGCGTTCGTCAGCTGAGGCAGAGTATCGCGCCATGGCTCATACCGTCAGTGAAGTGATTTGATTACATGCTTTACTACGCGATCTGGGAGTTCCCGTCGCTGGTCCTACTGTTTTACATTGTGATAATCAGGCTGCATTACATATCTCAGCCCATCATGTGTTCCACGAACGTACTAAGCATGTGGAGCTTGACTGCTACTTTGTTCGTGATCATGTTGTTTCTCAAGCTATCCTCCCACAGAAGATCGACACCCATGACCAGGTCGCGGACCTGTTCACTAAGGGTCTTGGTAGTGATTTTTTTAATTTTCTGCTCTCCAAGCTAGCCACTTGTAACCTGCATGCCTCGCTTCCCCCCCCGGGGGGGGGGGGTAAAGGAGTAGATCACGTGTTTTAGTAGGGACATATTAGTCTTTTCTCTTATGGCTTTTATGTGCCCTACGTATGGTAACCCTAGCCGAGCTGTGAAATAGGGTTCCATATATATATTGTTGTTCTTGCTGTATGCGGCTCATGTTTTTTAGACCGATGAATAAGAGGAGTTGAGAATGGTCGTCTTCTCCGGGGATTAGTCTCGTTCAAGAAGAACGAGGATACCACGTTAAATCGGTGTGTTTTTTGTTCATTTAGTATTCAAATATTTCACCACCCCATAAACGTAAGTAGCTAGATTTTATCCTCAATTTTTTTTCCAATAATGAACTGCATTGCTCAAGTATAAATACAAGAGCTACTTACGTTGGTGTGGGATTCTCAACAGATTTCGAAGTTGGTGTGGGATTCGTTACTTATAAAAGTAAATACCTGACAAGGTCCGAGAATGTCACAACATTTGCAGCACTAGAAACTTGTTGTGTGCCCCACATTTTCCAGAATATTATTTCATTAAAAACAGTAGTCTTAAGTACCATATTTTCCTTTTCATAAAAAAAAAGTACCATATTTTCCTTACGGGCCGACACCAAATTCCAGCCCAAAATATAGTTACTCAGCTCACAGCTCTACTTTCGTATTACCTTTACTAATATGTGTTTAGTTTCACAATTGTAGCACATCTTCTTCGATGGAAGAGAAAATATTAATACGTATGTTTTTGTCTGAGAGTGATTCTAGAAAGTTCCATTTAGTAATTGTATCTTATTTGTTTACATATCATCAATTAATATATAGTAGAGTTTTGTCTATTTTTCTCTATTACAAATTTCTTGCAACGAGAGTGAAAGTAGGCGGGCATTTTTATCTTTACAATTAATTATTTATTTCATATATAAATGTCAATACCAGAATTTGAACCCAGATCTCTTCAAACAAAGACAACAGTACAACCAATTACACTAAACAAATTTATTGTATATTTTTAATATAAAACATATACGAAGTGACACTCTGAAAATTGGAGGAATTTTCCATCATGATTAGCAAGTCCACTCAGTCTACCGTATGTATTTTTATGGTGCTTGATACTGCAATTTTCATAACTGAGTTTCATGTAGTTTTCTCGATTGTAAAATTACTGCTCTCTACTTAATTTTCGCTAAATGTAAATTGGTAATTGGCTAACGTAGAAGAACTAATTCTATTACTACGTATTTTGTCATTGTATTTTTCAATTTATATTTAAATTTAGTACTTTTTTATATTTGTTCTTATCTCTTTCTAACTTCTTTCAAAAATCCCTCCATCGTGCAATAGTTTGCGCCACTTTCACTTCATAGTACAAGGACGCCTTTGAAACCAATCTTCCAATATCTCTTGGCACTGCGATTTTATTGTTGGGGATTTAAACTGAGAAGGTAGAATATTTTAACTCTGATATCAATCCATGGCGAATAGAATGGAGTTCAATAAATGGAGTTGCAGAAGGAGGATTAGAAATTGAATTTTTGGTTGAAACATACGCATCTTGAGATTGAAGATAGAGTGGATAAAAATTTGATAGTACAACGGAGAGTGGTGACTATTGAATCTTTAGGTTTATGGTTTTTGCAGCTATCGCAACCTATTTCTATCTTTAAACGGGGAATCATTGATTGATTTACTGAAGTAGGTTGTTTGATTCTTTATTCAACCTATTGGAACTAATAGAGAAGGAGTGTATAATTTTGCTCCTTATTACTTTGATCGAGTCTATTAGTATATTGGAGGTAAGCCTAATTTTTGTGTTTGCTCTCAAGTTTTGATGGTCCCCTCCTACATGAGTTCTTAGTAAAGGATAGCATTGTACCTTTATGTAGGATTGCGAGGTTTAAGATTTAGTTTCAAAATATCTATGGTTCATGTGGCAATTTTAGTGAACTTTTATACTATATCTTTCTTGACAATCAACTAACCGATAACATTTTACCGGGACTTAATTATTATTATGAAAATCGGACTTAATTATTATTATGAAAATCGGATCAATGATACATTTTTATATTTTACATTCTTAAATGATGGTGATATTTCTCCAAATGCTTGACCTATATATTCATTCTTTATGTATTATCTCTATTGAAGGATTGTCAATAAAATTAAACGGGTTGATAGGCATAAACGTAACATGAAAATATAAATAATAGGATATATACAATATATTAGCCACAACTATTATGAAGCGGGGAATTATAGCCACAACTATGTAAATTCAAATTATTAGTCATAATTATTGTTGCGGTCAAGATATGGCTAACTGTCCGTTACTATTATTGAATTTCTGACGGAGAAGGCCACGGCATCGGCAACGGCATCAACCACGTCAGACTGCTTTTAATTTATAACTTTGAAACATAAAAGTTTAGTCGGCATTACTAACAAAATTGTTAACAGAGAGTTAACATTTGGCTGATAATTTGAATTTTCATAGTTGTGGCTATAATTCCCCGCTTCATAATAGTTGTGACCAATATATTGTATTTACCCTAAATAATAAAATATGAATATTCCGGCCAATAGGCCCGATTATAAGCTAGTATTTTTTTTAGTGTCTGCATAGGTGCGGTCCGGGGAGATGTAATTTAACAATTTATATCTCAAATGGTAAAATAATGGAATTAATGTATAGATTTTAGAGCGTATGAAATTTTTACAGAGAATTGAGAAATCCACCACAGTAGCTCAGCATTCCATTTTTTAGAACACTTTATCATATATCATTAGATTTATTGTAAGATTGCAAATATGTCATGGGTGGCCAAGTTAATTCAATTCATTTTGCAATTAAAAAACACATATCAATGTCATCATGCAATTGAAAATAAAAGAACAATGTAAATACTCTTAGTAAACTGAATTATGGATATCAATAATTTTTAGTTTGTTTTGCATCAACTCATGTCACCTCCTACAATAACTTTGTGTATATTATATAATGCATATATTTGGCCCAATTTTTAAAAGTGTTTTTTTCTTTAAAAGTTGAAACCCGGACAAACACATCTAGAAACTTCTTTTCTTTTCAAGGTATGACGAGACAATAGTTAGAATAACATCTACCCAAGACCCCATGCCTCACTATAGTGAAGTCTCCTACAAACATTTCTATAAGCTAGGCTTGAAAAAGTTGGAAAATATTTTACAATGCCCATGTTTGGCCCAACTTTTAAAAATGTTTTTCTCCTTCAAAAGTTGAAGCCGGGCAAAACACCTCTAAACTAGACTTTTGAAACAGTCATTAATTATTAAATGTCATTTTAGAGACTATTAAGTTATATTCATATAGATTATGTAAAGGTTTTACGAAATTCCAATTTTTTTGTAACAATTAAAGTAGGCATGTCAGGTAAGAATTTTGTAATGATTTAACCGTTTACGTAATACAATGTCATTATTCATTATATAAATGTCATAAGTTAAGTAAGACTTGAATAATCACATTCTACAATTGTTATGTAAGATACAAATAAATTACGTAAACATTGCGAAACGATAATTATTTATTATGTAACAATTAAACCAGATGTGTCACGTATGAGTTAACTGTTAATAGTACGAGGTGTTAATATTCCTTTGAGGAAAGGTTTGCTTATGTAACAATTTTAAAAAGTTGTTACGGAAGGATATAATGTACTTTGCATAATGAATTTGTACATTACTTAACACGGTGTTCTATAAGTATTATGTAAGTTAAACATAAGTCACGTATATCAGATGATAGATTATTGAATTTTCCGAATCAAATCTAAAATCACCAAGGTATTATATGAATTCTAAATACTATTTGTTTTGAGCAATAGGCTTGGTAGCAAAATGATGATTGAGCTTGATTTTGCCTAACATGATTCTCATCCAGAAGAATCGGAACACATCGAAATGGTGTTAGCGAAAATTCATCCGGAATAGTATCAAGTATGTTGTTCGAGTTTGAAGGTCCGACTTCTATAGTAGGATTTGTGCTTTTAATGGGTCTGGGCATCCAAACCACTTATAATTGTGAACTTCATCCCAACCCAATGAAAAGAAATGCAGTTGCCACACCACCAATATGCACATTATGACATTAAGTAGAAGGAAACACGAACATGAAACCGAAGGGATGGAATCACTGTCACATAGTAGTATAAAGTAACATTTTCATTTTTGAGAACTGCAACTAGCTAGTATTTCAGTTTCGGTTTATTCTAACCGAACCAAAAGCAGAAACTCTCATCAGTTTCGCGTTCTTTGTTTAGATGAAGAACTACTTGGGTCTAAATGGGGTTATTTTCTGTTCGGTGGATTCCCTACAGAATACTAGTTGGCATGGCAATAATGCCTTCTGCCTTGTATACTGCAATAGGAGGAAGACCATGTAAACCTGATGAATCTCTCATTGCTCGAGAATCAAAGACAGGATTCAGATCTCTACCCAAATATCTGTGAGTTGTGACAGAGTCAGTCAAGGCCCCAAGGGGAATCGTATAGTCCTCATCCAATGCCTGTGCTGTGGGGAGGTTAAGTAGGTGCCAGGCTGTTTAGGGCCACAATCAATCTAATGAACTAGCCCTCCCACACAAAATATATATCCCTCTAGATGTTCATCGCGTTCCAGAAAATAGCCCAATGAATCACCAACTCCCTTCACTATCCCTCTAAAACATTCGCGGAGCCATCCACATCCGAAGATGGCAGAGAATCTGGACATACAACAAAACGTTACATTACATTTTCCAGACATAAAACAACAAACAAGAACCGGTCTGTGAAGGTGAAGGTTTCTGCAACATCAGCCCCGAGATATTAACACCACTAAATCAAACACAGTTCAATGTCCGTCTGTTCTAAAGCAGCACCAACGTAACTTCATATGCAAACCAACAGGTCGTCTGGCTCTGTGTAGAGGCATCAATCGAGTTGGATCTGGATACTTATGCGAAAAGGGTTATCTAGCCAGGCAGGGTCTGAATTAGTTATCTGTCGCTCCTCCACTAGTGCTCTCGTTAGCATCTTTTCGCACGAATTGCCCCCTCACTCTCGGCCTCTGCTCTGCAAGTCTCTTCCTGCTCTGATACCGAACCTGAAAGCCAGCACCAAACCAAGTTCAGAAAGCAGTCAATGGCACTAATTGTTTAGGTCACCAACAGATCAGCTGCTAAACTCTGATTGTACACAAATTTGTGACCCAACCGAACAGTCACTTATTTCTTCTGTGTTAGCTTCGGTCCCTATATCAAACAGCATCCAAACGGTCTCTGTCAATTAACATTATATTATTTAATACATCCCTCCTACCCTGTACTTTAGAGATTGTGTTACCTATTCAACGATTGATCAAAGTGAACTACACATCAATCATTGTAAAAGGAGACGATTGTTATGTTAGTTATTCCCAAACTTCGATGACAAATTTGTTAACAAATTAAACTTGAGTGCCGATTTCTCTGTGCCCTCATAGCAACCACTTATGTAGTAAACGACTCGGATAATGAATTACTCGAACAAAGTTCCACAAAAGAAATTATCCTCACCTTTTTCCTGAAGCATCTTTCTTTCCGCTTCTGACGGAACTTGGTCAGGGCAGCTTCTCTCTGTAAAACCCTGCTCGGATCTAGCTTGTCTCCGCTGCCACTACCACTGCCGCTCCCACCACCTCCACTCCTCTCAGCAATTCCATTACCACTCTCCATGTTAGTTCCTCCAGCATCAACTGCCGCTGGGCTGCTTCCATTGTTGTTCCCATTACTACCATGGTTACTCCCATGGTTACTCCCGTGGTTACTACCTGATGCACTTCCATGGATGCTGCAATTGCAAGCGTTATTGCCTTCAAGAGGCCCACCACAGTGGCCATTGGATAACCCACCATGCAGAGTTGTCATCACCTTCTTCTTCGATGCAGAATCATCATGCTTAGCTGGTTGAGACAGTGTTGTAGTTGCTACTAATTTATCAGCAGCTGTTTCCAAGGCAATTTTTGGAGGAATAGTACATGGAGGGTCTGCATGCTTGACCATGGATGTTACTGCTGATTTGTTTTTCGAGACTGATGAATCAAGGAAAGCATTGTTCGTCGTGGACCCCATGTCAACAGTGTTGCTACCCACATTTGACCGCTGGTTAGGAATATTGTTGTTAGAATGAGAGCAAAATTCATGAAATGCCCCCTTTCTGGCAACATCAAAGCTCGAAACAACAGGAGGACTGCTTTGGGAGTTCCCGCCCCAAGTAGCCTTATATGTATTTGAAGCTGCTGCATTGTACCTGTGATGTCAAGGCAGAAAACATTAGTATTCAGGATTTTTGGACAGTATAAAATAGCAAAACTCATAATTCAGGTGTACTTTCCAGGACCTAAAAATACCTTGAGAAGGCTGAAGAGTCTGAACGTCTTAGTACATTGCGTTCATCCTGATTACTCTTTTTAACATCTTTGCTTCCTCTAACTCTCTTCAAATTTACTTCAAATGATGCCGCTGTTCCCTTAGGGTCAGTACTGCCCTTGACTACGGTATCTGAGATCTTACATTCTGTAGTGTCCATGTATGCTTCATTAGCATTATGAGTGAGGCCAGCTGGCCTACCAACTTCACATTGAAAATTATTTGCACTATTAATATCTAGCAGTTCCTTGCTGTCATTCTCATCAAATACGTTACACCCTTGCTCAACCGGATTACTTGGCCTTGTTCCTGCAAGTTTCTTCTGATCCTCAGCAGCTGCATACTTGAGTTGCAACTCTGGCTTTGATGGCACTTCAATTTGAAGATCTTTAACAATAGTAGTATTCTCTGAAGGAATAAAAAGAAATACAGTAACTTATATCAGATGAGGCTCCACGCAAAAAATAAATAAATAGCAAACGAATGAATGAACGAAAAACAAAGGACAATCCAGAACTTCTGTAATACCAAGTTGTTGTTGCTCCTCTTTATGTTCCTTTCCATTGGATACAGGAACTTGTTTGTTACCGGATATTTCACCATTTGAGTGAATGACTTGGGCACAAGTGCTGTCAGGACGCTCAGCAACTTGATCCCATTGAGGCAAAGCTCGAGGGCTCTCCACCTCTTCAGCTTGCTTTGTCCAAGAACTCTGCAGAAATTTTTATTTAATACTTTTTCAGTCAGTACTCATTTCTAACTATCAGATTAGAAGCTCATCATGATATAGAAACTAAAACCTAACTGAGATCTGCATAAGCCATAAGACATGACCCATATATTTCTTAACAATCCACGGACGTTTCATAACATTGTACTATCAAGATTCCCATTCATATCAAGATTCCCTTGCATATTCATTAGAAACATTCGCATGGATTTAATTCAATCAAAGCTACTCAAAGCCCATTGATTGTCCATGAATGAAATAAACTGCTCTTTTTCATTCCATTTTCTATTCCTCCGTGAAATACCAAATAACTTGCAAATTGAATTAAATGAATACTCGTCTTATTGACTTAAAAAGCCCCAACTACTGCTATTCGAGTTCATTTTCACATAACATATTTGAAGCAAAAAGAAAATAGGAAGCTTGAACACCAAGCATACCTGTGTACCACTTCCATCATCACTTCCATCACCAACATTAAAACCAAAGCTCCCATCATCATCATCATCATTGCTGCTGGCATTGTTGCCCGATTTCTCAACATTTTTTGACTTAACAGACTTTTGAGTTTGAGTACCACTGCCACTTTCACTACCACTGCCACTAGACTGAGGAAAAGAAAGCAATCACTTGCTCAGCCCAAAAGTGGAGTCCTTTTGATTCACTTTGAATAGAGCAATAACACTCTACATGATGGGATATTAGATGCGATTGAGCACTGCCACATTAGAAATACAAGATCCTGAGGAAAAATGAAGCATGATGCATTCCCATTTTCAAAAGGAAATTACAACTTTCAGGCCACTGGTGCACTGGCCAAAAGAAGTGGTAACCTAAGTTTTTTTTTTTTTTTTTTGTAATGACAACCGATAAGAATGCCAAGTATGCATAAGAACTTTTCAGGGTTGTAATAGTATGAATTAGAAATTTCAGGTACTCACACTATGGCATCTTCTCCAAACATGCTGCCAGAGAATCTTAAGTTCATTCTTTCGTATAGGTTTGACTAAAAAATCAACAGCACCTTTTGAAAGGCACTTGAAGACCAAACCCATTGAGTCGTGGGAAGACATCACTGCACAAATCTCATCAGAAAAGACACAGTTAAAAGTATCTATTCGATGGAATCATAATATTACGTCTCATGAAAGAATGACTAAAAGTACACTTACTGATTACAGGAACATTTCTGCGTGTTTTATGTGTCATTATCTTGCACAAAAGACCCACCCCAGACACAAAAGGCATGACAACTTCAGTCAAGACAATGTCAACATGATTGGCCAAGTCCTCTAGTATCTTCCAAGCTTGCACTCCATTTGACGTTTCAATAACTGGAGTGAGTAGAATATTTGAGGTTATAAATATCAAGATGTCAAAGAAGGCAACTTTGAGGTTATTCAAATGGGGAACTAGAACAATGGAGTGCCATTTTGAAGACTGTGATTAAGAACTCAAAATTATGTGATAGGGACTAACAGCATATGGTTAATTAACAACTCCAACTATATTAATGCATCTCTTAAGTTCTGTATGTATCTTCATAAATATGGAAGTTCAACAAACAGCCTCAAATGGAAGAAAATATGTTCCATGAAAACAACTCATATTCTGATGCTCCAGTTTACCATACTGCGGGGAAGGACCACACGAACACATGCTAAAAGGACAAAACTGTAATCCTGGCCTCAATTTCATTAGTATTTGGTCAAGAACTTATCCAACTAACCTTCATAGCTGCAATTACGAAGAAGGGCAGCAACAACATGACGGGTACAATCATCATTTTCCACGAGCAGAACCTTGAGTGTTCTAAGGTGAAGGAACCTTTCCCAACATACTGATGTCCCTTGAGATTGTTGTTGCTGTGGTACTTGGATTGGAGCTGGGACCTGAATGATCCCAGCATGCTGATCTTTCACATTCTCAATGTCATTGCAGACACCAATTTCAACTGAATTCTGATCTTTATTCACAACTCCATCCTCAATACCCCTCTCGTTCACACTGGGTAGCTGCAGGTGATTAAGTACCCTACCACCGTTATCTCCATCCCCATCAACTTTCATCTAGCACAATTTCTGTCAATATACAAGAGTGATGAATAACTATGATTAGGAACACCCAACAGCGAACATCGGTACATCCTCTTAAGCCCACAAAAAGAATGGTGTTCACCTTCAATAACACAACCTCACCAGAATGTATACAGCTGAACCCAGTTTTAAAAAGTGGGAATCACAGGGCAATACAGTGATGACCCCAGCAGCAAACACAGCACACCCAATTTGGCTATCGCCGGCATCCACTATACTTGTACTTGAATTTACCCTGCAAAAGCAGAGGACCCCATGGAAATAGCTAAATATCTAACCGTTCAACAACCGGAAAGATGAAGAACTTGTATTCAAAAGACTCAAAAGAGAAACCAGATCGCCCCATCCTAGCTACTTAGCAACCAGCCAGAAATGAAACAGGTCTCACATGCAAAACAAAACATCACACCAAATGAAATCAAGCACATCAAAACCCTAATACGAAGCTAAAAAGGTCCCTCAGCGGTCTTCTAGCCACAAATCTCGATCCGAAACAAGCAGCAACCCATGGACCAATTAATCCAGCACAATCTCAATTTCAGCAAACAAACTGGCGGAGCCAGAACCAATCGTGAATTAGGTAAGGAAAAGCAGACAGCAGAAATAGAGAAACGGGTAAACAAATCTCCATGTCCAACATGATAAGCAAAAAACACAGAGGTCCAACCAAATTGAAACCGGACCGGAGGCTGATTATGCACAGCAGAGAGCCTTCATTCACCCGCCATTCAACTAATTATTACCCGAGCTCGATTCCTCCAGGAGTCAGACCTAACCAATTAGCCTTAAACCTAACTAGTAACTAATATCAGTCTCCGGCCGAATTTACAGAGATTAGAGGAAGAAAGGGGGAGCAAAATATAGGAAATCACGGAAATTGGTGGTGGAATTTAATTTGCTTGGCGGGAGAAAGGGCCTGAGAGGAGTCTGAAACAGAGACATATGAGTAAAATGTTGCCGCCGACCCTCCTGTCGGGTGGAAGAAGAAAGAGGAAAGACTAGAAGTTGAAGAAGCAGAAGAAGAAGAAGAAGAAGAAGATATTATTATTGGGTTAGGAGGAAAGAAAGGAAAAGAGGATTGATTATTGATTGACGAGAGAGAGAGAGAGCGCGAGAGAGCAGGCAAGTAAACGAGTGACTAGCTTAGTTTCCCTTTTTTCATGTGGATGGGAGCGAGAGGTTCGGGTTCGGACCGTTCCCCAGCTTCCACGTAGGACTGCCGAGCTCTGCCGCCGTGGACAAAATCAAAAGCCGAGCATACAAGTCCTCGCTGCACAATCTTCTGTGATCCTGCTAGATCTGCAAGGACAGGGCCCCGCCTGGTGACACGTGGATCCGAGCGGCCCGGACAGGCTGTACCTTCTTTCAGTTCTTTTTGCCTGAACTGGATAATTTTAAGGGGAAAGCACAAAAAAAAAAAAAGCCCGATCAATCACAATAACAATATTATTCAAAATAATAATAATAATAATAACCACAATGACAGATGATTGTTACAAAAGGTTTGTACCGTTAAAAAATAAAAAAATTAATCACATTCGAGGTTAGGTTGAAAAATTAATGTTGTACTAAAATAATAATTTAATTGTTTTTACTGTTAAAATCGTCTATCGGTTTGGACCCGTATCCTATATTTCTTGAACCGGCCGGTACGATTAGAGGTGTCAAAACAAAACCCGGCCAAGTAACCCGTCCAATCAATCCGACCTGCAACTCGATTGGCCCACAACTCGATTAACCCGAACCTAAACGATACACAACACAAATAAACCCGTAAGCCGATTGACCCAAATCTGACTGACCTGTGACCCAATTTATCCAACCTGAACCCTCACCCGATTGACCTGAATAACTACTAATTATATAATATATAGTCTTTTGAAATGAATTTTCCATACTAAACTTAGGTAAAGTTCAAAATATGAAGTTCACATGACATTATGTACTTTTAATAAAGGGTTAATAACATTTTGTCCCCTTCTACTATTTCAAATTAACAAACGTGTCCATGCACTATATTTTTGCACAAACATACCCTTCTAATATCAGCACATCACAAAAATACCATTCCGTTAAACATTCTGTGAAATGGTCGTTAAGTGAAGTGGAAAATAACCCAATTATCCCTTAAAATTATAATTTAATTGTGTGAAACTGCATTAAAATTGATAATTTAATTCATCTGTTCCATCCCTCCCATTCACCGGTAGAGAACAGAACACATCCCTCCTCCCCCCTTCTTCTCGTCACTTCAATGGCGACGTTTAGCTTGCTCCCCACTCTCCCCCAATTCACCTCGTGAGAAGATCGTGGGGAAGAAAAGAGACAAGCTCACCACCTTCTTGCTCACCAACGCTAGGGGTGGAAATCGGTACGATATCGCTATCCCAATACCAAATACCGAAATCCCGAATACCGAATTACACTCTAGAATCAATCTTAATCCCTAAATAATTTCGGTATCCTAATCTCAATCCCTAAATATTTTGGTATCCCAATCGGTACTTTGGTATCTCAATCAGTATTATCAAATACGAACTTAATTACCTTTATAATTTATAATTAATATATAAATTAGATTTGATTGTTTAATATAGAACAAAGAGACTAAACAAAGAGTTTTGAGTTTGGCAAGAGCTAGGATATGGATAAGGAGAATGAAGTAGAGGTGACCAAAGCAGTCAAAATCGGGATTTTGATCGTAAAATCGTAGGATTTTAAGATTTTACTTAGGATTCTGATCCTGATTTTACTATAAAATCGGTGGACCTTAAAATCGTTTAAAATCGGGAATAAAATCGTAAAATCATACCAAAATCGGGATTTAAATCGTATGAGAACAAAATGGGCGGTTTCAGCAAATTTTAAAAAAAGCGGATGACTCGCACGAAACTACACCACAAAAAATCCTGACTAGAATCCAAGTTTTAAACTCTAGTCGGGTGCAGTGTAGAGCAAGTATTTAGATATCAACCCGGGCTGGTCCGTCTACCTCTGCTTCAATTGTTGAAATCATTATCTAGCAACAATGTTTTGGTTTCAAAGTTTGCTAATTATAACAAAATAAAGCAAAGGTAAATGGGTTAGAAAACTCTTTTGTGGAAGGATCACTCGGGTGTCGCTTCCCCCTAACTACTACCATGATATGTGAATTGGAACGATTGTTTTGGGCAAGGTAATCGCGAACTGCAGAAGTATGCATATATGGCAAGGACCACAATCTCAATTGCTAAACCGAGGTGAACATTAAAGGCTGTGTCACTCGACCCTCTCAGTTTAGGCAATTGGTAATTGACTTACTCCCTCACTCAACTCAAAGGTCGGACGGCTTAATCACAATTAACCTATTTGCTTAATTCAACAATGAGGGTTGCCCTAAATTAACCTAGTTAGGTGGCTTAAAAGCTGAAGGAAAACCAACTCGATTGAGTCTCCCTTGGAAGGGGGATTTTCCTCTCTAAGCTAGGTTAAGGTGGCTAATTAGATTGCTAGCACCAACATGCACAAACGTAAGGGTGCTAAGCACAATTATGCACAATCCTTAGGTTGCTAAGCACCAAGATGCACAAACTTAAGGATGCTAAGCACAAAACATGCACAACCCTTAGGTTGCTAAGCATAAGCATGCACAATCAATTTTGAAAAATACCTCAATCATTGAATTAAACAATACCCAATGACAATCATTCAATTCACATAAAAGAAACTACATGGTATAGTTAGGGTTTCACAACACCCAAGTGAAAGGAGATCTACTCCATGCTAGAAATGGGGAAAACACAAAGAGAAGAAGAGGAAACCATCTTGGAGGATGCTCACAATCTCCTTGGCCCTTGTGTTGAGCTTTCCTTGGAGGAAATCTTCCAAAAATCCACCTTGAAGCAAAACCCTAGCCTTCTTCTTCCTTGGTTCGTGTTTCTCTCTCTAGAAATCTGAAGAAGGCTTTTAACACAAAGTGGGCTCTCCCCTCTCTCCTCCTTTCATCTCATCATTTAAACCAGAGACGAGCTCAGTTCACGGCCTTAGTTCACAGCCTTGAACCACAAAACGCGTCCGTGAATTTCAGGCGTGCGCCAAAACGCACCGCTTCAATCTCTTATGTTCACGGTCAACGACCTTCGTTCACGGTCTTAGCGACTCACCTTTCGCCAGTAACCTCTGTTTTGGCTCTTGACGCCTCGCGATTCACGGTCAAGGGATCTTCTTCACGGTTATGCAAGACCGTGAACTTCCTCGGATGGCCGTGAACTGGCCCTTTTTCACCTCTTCTCTCGGTTTTCTATCCTTTTCGCCCAACTTTCGACTCCGAGGCTGGTTTCACCTGTTAAATCCTGAAACACACTAAAACAAGAAGAACCTAGCGTAAAACCAACATTTTAGGAGTGAATTTGGAACAAACACCTAAGTAAAACGGGGGCAAAACATGTACAATTAGGCCTGAATCACTCCCCCGCACTTAGACGTTTGCTTGTCCCCAAGCAAACCATTTCACACAAGGTAATATTTCAACCTACACAAATACTTTGGGGACAACTCAAAGGGCACAAAGTGAGAATTCTCAATGGCTATTGGCAATCAATACATGGACCGTTGCAAGCAATACCGACCGTGAACTCCCTTAGCGTCAATAACCTCCGAAACCGCGTTGGACTGCTTGATGTTCATGGTTTGTGGCTCTAGTTCATGGTTTTAGGAGACCGTGAACTCCCTTGTTTGACCGTGAACTGTGGCTGCTTCCTGGACGCCTGCACTTCACTGTTACGAGGCACTGTCTCGAGGAACGATGAAATACTAAGCTAAACGAATAAGAAATGAGGGATCAAATGTGTACATTTGGACCCGAATCAGTTGCATATCACTCTAAAGACTTGGCTATTATGTGTGTGCTTGAAGCCTATTCCACGGTCTAAATTTTTTAATTTGAGGGCTTCAAGTGCGTTGTTCCTCACTAAAGAAGAAACACCCCCCCCACCACTTAAGATTGACATTGCTCGCAATGGAGCACAAAAAGAATAGGGGAAGGATTTTACTGGAACATAATGCATGTTGGTTGGACTGGAGAAGGGACCAGTCAGCAGGAGCAGACTAGAAGAGGGACCAGTCAACAGAGAACACAAACTTAGATAAAACAACCACTAGAACATGGAACTTTTAAGAACAATTGTTAGCCTGATGGACACAAAATAATAAAAAGAAATGAAATCATAAAAACACAATTATCAAGTTCACACTCCACACTCAAAGAAAACAAACACAACCACAAGAAAAAACACAGGATGAAGTCCCTGATTATGAAAAAGCTCAGAGTTCGGTGAAGTTGATGTCGTCCACGAATGCATCATCGCCTTGCGGGGGCGGGGGTGGCGTCTGGGGTGGGGAGTTCTCCTTGGAGTGGTGAAGGTGGCTTGCCCCTGGACCTGCTGGACCAGGAGCTACTGAACCTACATCATTCGAGGACTCCAGTCCCACTAGCGCTCAATACAGGCAAGGAGCACGCCCTGCTGTGTCTTTATCCGATCCAAGCAAAGGTCATATTGATCCATGTGGCTAGTATACCGCGCTTGCTGAGCCCAATACTACTTCTATAACTGGAGCTGCTGGTTCTGTATGTCCAGCTGCTGAAAGTGATATGTGAAAAACTCAATCGACGGTATAGAAGGACCGGTGGAGAACTCACCTCGCTCCAATCTCTATCGTGGGGGAAGATCCTCAGGTGGAGAGAGCGGCTCCTTTGACTCTATGGTGGCCTCCCCATCACCATCTTCCAAATCATCTCTCTTTGAAGGAGTGTCGAGGGGAAGACTAAGGCCTTTAATCCACTCATAGCCATCAATTTTCACTACCAACCCTTGGCCGCGTAGTATAGCGAGGCTCAATGTTGTTGCTTCACCCTTGGCAAACCAGTTTGTGAGGCCAGTGAAGTTTACGTCGTATTCCTGGGCGAGGAGAGTGATAAACGGCCCACAAAAGAGCTTCTCCAGATGACACTGGCTATTTTCAAAGGTGTTGGAGATGACCAACCCCAAATGAAGGGGGCAATCCTCGAACTGCATCGTGAAAATGAATTATAGGACCCGCTTGGTG